GAGGAAGCCCCGTGTGGCCAAGGCCTGTTCTCGGAGAGGCCCCAGTGAGGTCTGTTAGGTTTGTTGGAGGAGGAGGAGAGATTGTTGCCAGCTCCTTTTTGAGTGGCACAGCAGGCAGCACCGCCTGGGACCTGATACCTTGCAGGTACCTGTGCTGCAATGGGTGCATACCGCCGGTCTGCTTAGAGGCTGAAGGGGCTGACAGCTCTGCCTTCACCGCAGACGGGGACGGGCATTTACCCTGCCCCGACACCTTGTCTTTCAGGAGCTACCCTCAACCCTGGGCGAGATGCCCAGCTGGGCTCGGCTCAGCCTCCGACACCGCCTTCCAGGGACAGTGCCTTAAAGCTGCCCCTGGATAAAGCTGTACTGCCAAAGCCTGGGACGACCCCGCTGGCAGCGTCTCCACAGTGTGCAGCCAACAGGGAGCTGGTGTCTCCAGCCGAGGCCCCCATCATCCTCAGTTCTCCCCGGACATCCAAGACGGACAGCTATGATCTGGTGTGGAGACCCCGGGCTGACAGAGGAGCCCCCATCCTCTATTACGTCGTGAAGCATCGCAAGGTATTGCTCTTTCGCCCTGCTCCCATCTTTCCTCTGCGCCGTTCCACAGGTGGGCTGGTGGCCTCACCACACGTTTTCACACCTCGTGAGCAGGTGTGTTGGGGCAGGGGCACCCATCGCTTGCTGGTGGCACTGGTTGGTGGGACCTCCTCAGCTGCAGCCTCAGCCTGTTGAGGTGTGATGAGTACAGGCTGCGAGAGCAGGTTTGCCGAGCTGCCCAAGAAGAGCCCATAGCGGTGCTCCTCTGCCTGCGTACGCAGAGGGCGTATGCACACGCCTGTATGTCCAGTCTGAAGAGCTTCCACATCCAATTCCCCGTCGTGTGCTTACACAAGTAGGATGTCCGGAGGGCACATTGCGCAGTGACCTGCTCTGTGGTCTTGACACAAGCCATGGGGACACCTCTGCCTGGAAAGGCTTGGGCTGCAGGACACAGAGGAGCAGCCTCTCTCTGCTGCACGTACCTGCCCTGCTCAGCAGCGCTGGAGCACCCGCACTCCGTGACTGTGGGGAGCCGGCAGAGCCATGCTAAAGCCTCTGGGAAGGTCCTCAACCACCGGTTTTATTCCGGAAGCTGAAAGGCAGCGAGTGCACTACTGAGCACGTCTCTGGGCTGGTGGCACAGCGTGAGCGCACGGAGCACAGCCGGGCCCTGCTTGAGCCCAAGGGCTCCTGCCCTCTGCGGTGCTTCTCAGCGCCGCAGGCAGAGCTGTGGCCCAGCGGTTTCTCTCAACAGCAAAGCATTGTTGAGGTGGTAATTCCGCTTTTGAGGTGTAGAGCGTGCTTTCCCATTTTGGTGGGGATAAATGGGGAATAAAGAGCTTGGATTTGTCTGTTTGCTGCTTGTATTTCCTTTGGGTAGGCAGGGAGTTGCATCAGGGAGGCAGGTTTTGCTCTGGGGTTTGAGTACGTTCCAGATCTGGCATGTTTTGGATTCCGGGCCGCTGCAAGGCACCGTTTTCAATTACATGTGAATGTATCTGTTTTCCTGGAATTGTTTGATTTTGTGAAAATATGGTATAGTAGGACGCTGTTACATAAAAAACAAAACTTAAGCTGAGGGTTTCAGCTAACCATCGCTTTAAAGAGCCCTTTAAAAAAAAGGCAGAAGATGCCAACAGAAGAACACAATAGGGCAAGCTTAAATAAAAACCAACAGATGCCAAAAGCCTCGTCAGACTATTGGCTCTGGTTGTCTGCCAAGAAGAGATTTTTCCCCCGATGGTGTATCATGTAACTATCCATTCTGCATGCCATCTTAACTTGCAGGCTGGAGTTTGTCTATATTTTATTTGTTTTTCAGCGCTTCACCTGGAAGGGGCTGTAGGGCAGTGGAGGTCACCGTGGGTCACTGCAGTTTGCAGTAATATGTTTTCAGTGTAGTCCAAATTCTCAGCTGGAGACTCTTTCTTGGGATGCTTAAGGATTGTGTGGAAAGGAATTAGTCCAAATAACCCTTAAACTTGTTTAGAAAGAGTCTCTTTCTATCAAAGATCCTTAGGATCGAGTTATATAATGATCCGGTTTTGACATCTCTGACTGGAAAAGCATGGGTGCGGAGAGGGAAGGAATCAATTCAGCAGCAGAAGAAAAGGCTCTTTGTGTGAAAGATGGCTGTGAGGAAGATAAAACCTACTGACAGGAGGCTCACAGTTGTGCTGGGCAAGGGTCTGCTTCTCCTCTGCAAAATATCTGCGGATGTCTCTCTTCCCCTGCCCTTACGCTGCCCCTAAAATCTCAGCAGCCTGAAAGCAGTCAGATACCACGCAGCCCGTTGTCTTTCTTTCTTAAGAATTTCTGTTTTCCGTTCCTGGATATTAGCAGTCTTTAGGGCTCTCCCCTCCCTGGCCTCACAACTCTGCGGGCTCAGGAATAAAAATAAAACGAGGCAGGCATTAATCAGTCAGTGTCAAATGCTCGGAGAAGATGAATGATACGGCAGAGTCTTGGCATTTCCGTTTTGTTGCGTTGCCTGCATTGCTAATGCTCCTTTCGGCACCGGGTCACTTGAGTGTCCTGCCTGTTTGCCTGCAAAAATATTATGCTTGCAGATGGGGAGCAGGAGGAAGGTCCCCCCGTCCCTCCGCCTCCACATGGGGCATCGGGGCATCACCGAAACACGAACTGTTTCCAAGCCTTTCTGGGGACCACGGCCGTACATGGCCTCTTCCCAGCAGAAACCTGTGCTCAAACATCAGGGTTCCTCAATTCAGCCAGAAAGTGCCCGCGGTGAGGCTGGATAAAACTGGATAAGAAGCCGTTAGTCAGATGACTTAGGTCCAGATGACCAAAGTGGTGTCCGGGTCCCTCAGCCCACGGAAACGGCCAGCATCTGAATGAGCAGCTCAGCAGCTGGGCTGCAGGAGAGATTTGGCTCCTAAAGCAGCTCAAGCCTCTGGCTAACGCTGCCTTTCATGGGCACGCCTGCCCCAGAGCTTCACTGCAGCGAGCGGCAGTGGTGTCAGGGGGAACCCACGGAGAGAACGGGGCTGAGCGAACCTCTGGGGTCAAGAAAACACCGTGGTGTTTGGTGCCTTGGCCTGCCAACACCTGAATCCTTCATCTTTGCAGCATCGGGCTGGAAAGATCTCCCTCCTTTGCAGGCAAGGAAGGTAGCCCTGGTTGATGCGCAGCCTGTCGTGACCGTTTCTGAGCTGGGTCCAGGCAAGAAGCCCAGCCTGTCCCCAGCTTTGCAACGCCTGCGTTGGTCTCTCAGCAGGTCGCCAACGCCTCGGACAGCTGGGTGGTGAGGGACGTCCCAGCCTCGCAGCATCGCCTGACCCTCACCAGGCTGGACCCTGGGAGCCTCTACGAGGTGGAGATGGCTGCTCACAACTGCGCCGGCGAGGGACAGACGGCCATGGTGACCTTCCGCACTGGTAAAGGTCAAACCTGTGCTCGGAGTCAGGGCAGGGCCCCTGCGAGACATCCTGGCCCGGCCCCGAGACACAGGCACCGGCCTTCGGACAAAGGGACTGTTTCGGCCCTGGAAACCTGTCTGCCCTCAGCTTAGAGTGACTCTGTCAGAAGGGAAAGTGGAGGGTGGGTCTGAAATGGGGTGGGGACAATCAGGTCTTCTCCTCTGCCTGGGTTGGAGTCAGTCCCGTCCTCCCTCGGCATCTCAGTTGGACACCTGCAGAACCCTGGAGAATAGGTCTGTCGGGGATGTCAGGAGGTCGTTTAGTCAGTCCTCTGCCTGGAGACGGGACCAGCCTGTGCGGGTTGTTCTCGACAGGGTTTGTCTCATCTGGCCTTAAAAGCTTGTCCTGCACTAAAGGAAGCTCCAAGCCTTCCCGTGCGGTCTGCTCGGTGCTGAGCTGCCTTCGCCACTGAAAGAATGTTCCAAATACCTGCGCTAGGTCCCCCGTCCCCTGGCTGCTTTTAGTGTCTCTGGCAGGTATGGGGAATGGCATTCCCTTGGTGGCAGCCTTGCTCACATCTGCCCTCAGGCCCCCATCTTGTGCTAATTACTGCCTTCTCAGGCAGAAATCTAGCAACAGTTCAAGAAAACCAATTAAAAGTTTTAGAAAATGAAATATGAGGGGGACCTATGAACAGTTCAACAAACCTGCCCCTTTAGCTTTAGTTCCTGGCTGCAGGGTGAGTGCTTGGAACCCCTAGGGCCATTTGAGTCCAGAGAGTACTTAGCTCGGCATCGTGGCTGGGAATATTTCCTTTGCTCGTCACAGCAAAAATGAACTCTGAGACGTGTCTCCGTGTCCCTTCTGCACAGGCCGGCGCCCAAAGCCAGAGATTGTTGCCAGCAAAGAGCAGCAAATCCAGAGGGACGACCCGGGCACGAGCACTCAGAGCAGTAACCAGTCTGACAACAGTCGTCTGTCCCGTAAGGCCCTCCCTGAACTGGGCAAGGAGGGAGGGCGAGGGGTGCTGGATCTCTTGGGGGTGACAGTGGCCAGGCCGTGCTGGGGCTGGAGTCTCGCTGGGTAAAGCAAGACTGTGCAAAGCTGGGTGGGTGGTCTCTAGCTCCTGATGAGGAGAGATCCTTCTCGGACACCCCTGCTACCACACTCGGCTGGCAGTCGGTCTTAGGAGACCTGTCTTAGGGACAGCCTGTCCCCACCGCTAAGGCGGGGGCTTGTCAGAAACTCTCTGTCTGTTGCTGAGTTTCACGTGGAAGGTTCGGAAAGCCCTGCCATGGCGTCTGTGAAGGTGCAGAGAAGCAAGCTGCCGTGCACCGGTGGGTGCCGGGGGAGCGAGAGGGAGAAAGGGGAACCATGTCCCTGCAGGTCCTGGCATCCTCCTCTCTTGGCCAAGCCCTGACAGGGGGCAGTTAGCGCCCGTTCTAGGGGTGGAGGGGGCTCCACTGGGGTATTTTGCTGCCCTGGAGAAACATCAGTTCTTTACTGGTTAATCCAATTTGTTGTTTCCCACCTTGTGTCTGTCATTACTATTACTCACCAGGTCCCTTATCCTTTCTGCAAAATTCTGTCCTTCAAGTCTTATCGTTTCTGTGAAGCCCCCTCCTTCAGTCCCCCACACTAATTCATGTGTTGTCTTTTCTCTCATCGCCACAGCTCCCTTCATCTAGTTCAGAACTTTTCCCTGTTTCCTCCTCAGCCGGTTCTACTCAGTCTCTCCTGGTTTCGCCTCCTACACTCGTCTGTCCCCTGTCTCAGTCTCCCCCTGCTCACAGCTTCCACATCAGCCGGGCCTTTTGCTCTATCTCCAGCCCTGCATCTGCACCTCTCGCTGCTCTCCCTCCCACGATGGGCATACACACCTCAAACCCTGTCTCGTCCTACTTGAGTTGGGAGTGGAAAAGGAGCAAGATGCGAGCAGGAGTAAAAGATGTTTGCAGGGCACAGACTGAAAGGAGCGAGGATTTGGGGGTGCCAGCTCTAATGAAGAGGCAGAAAGAAGAGAGCACTCAGGACTTGAAAGAGTGCGTGGGTGGGTGCAGTGCCGGTAATCCTTCACGCACATACCTCTGAGCTGCGGGAGCCTCCAGACGGGGCAAGAGGAGCGTGGTCCATGTCCTGATGTCCTTCTGTGCCCCTTGCAGCTCCAGAGGCACCAGACCGTCCAACCATCTCCATGGCATCAGAGACTTCTGTGTACGTGACCTGGATCCCCCGTGGGAATGGCGGGTTCCCCATCCAGTCTTTCCGTGTGGAATATAAGAAACTGAAGAAGCTGGGAGACTGGGTTCTGGCCACCAGTGACATTCCTCCCTCTCGCCTCTCTGTGGAAATCCCAGGCCTGGAGAAAGGTAGGCAGGTATTCTCCTCCCTACTTCCTGGAGGTCTGTCGGAAAGCTGTGTGGTCCCCGTAGGATGGTTCGCCATCTGTCACGTCGTGCTTAGCCCCGGCATGTGCGAGCAAAACAAAGCCTCCCCAGCTCCAGCCTTAGACGCATGGGGAAAAGCTGCAGATGCTTCTCCAGTTTCTCCAGCTGCAAAGACCAGCATCGATTTGACCTCCCTCAGGGAGGCTTGCGCATGCTTTTCTGTACAACAGGATATAGTTACCAAAGGCATTTGGTTTTGCCATTTACTAGACAGGACAGAACTTTCCTTAGCCACAGGCAAGACAGATGGGCGCACAATTCCCATTGCACTTCGCATGAGAAAATGCAGCATCACTGAGCTGGACAGCTTAAAAGGGCAACATATCTACCCGAACTTAAAGAGCAGTAAAATGATGTTTGGGTAAAAATTACTTAGGCTTTGAGCTTTTAACTGATGTTTATGTACTTAATTTCTATGTAATAGAGGAAGGACGCCTTCTCATACCTGCTTTCGGGTCAGGACATCCTTTCAGGCGTCTCTGAATCCAGCCCCACACCTTCCAGAACTGCTAGCTGACCTCTAGACCATCCAGACAGGAACTGGAGAAGGCAAATAAAAGCAAGCTCCATCTAGCACATGGCTGAAATCTGGACATTCAGTGTTTGTACTTTGATCAAAACCTCTCTGTAGGCTCTCTGCCTTCTGGAGTAGATGTAGCCCCTCTCCACAGTCAGACCTGTGCTGAGAGTAGAAGTCTCAAAAGACTCCAATCTCTGCAACTCTTTTATTTCCCGTTTTTCCCCTAGGCACATCCTATAAATTCCGTGTCCGGGCACTGAACATCCTGGGAGAGAGTGAGCCCAGCGCAGCGTCACGGCCATATGTGGTGTCTGGGTACAGCAACCGGGTCTACGAGCGCCCTGTGGCCGGGCCGTACATCACCTTCACAGACGCCATCAACGAGACGACCATCATGCTAAAGTGGATGGTAAGGTTTGTAGGGGCAGAGAGCTCTGAGTGCACAGGCAGCAGGTGCGTGGGTGCTGCTTACCCAGCTTACATGCAGTCTTTCAGGTTACCGCACTGGGGCCTGTCACCAGCAAAGCGGAGCTGGGACCCAGTAGCTCTCTCCAGCAAAGGAGGGCTGGGCTTGGGTCACGTACAAGGGGGGGAAGTCAGAGAGCCTACAAAACGTTTTTTGTCTGAATCCAGCCTTGTAAACGGGAGGCTTTTCAGCGGATAACCTCAGGGTCTTGACCGTTTTGTTCAAGCACAGTTCAGCAACACAGGGGTGGCTGCTTGCTCTCCTGGCCAAATTTGTGGAATCCATTACACCTCTGTGTGTCCCAATAGTTTCCAGCAGATAGGTCCTTCACTCTCACTTGCTGGGCAGCAGTCCTAAGTGCTGATAATCATTGACAGCAGTCCACCCCAGAGGAGTTTAAGGAGTGGGCAGGATCTTTTGGATCACAGGCCCCGATTCACGTGTTTCCAACAGCGTAGAGCTTACTCAGAGGGATGCGTCACCCTCTTCTCTCCCAGCTGCTTCTAGCCAGAAACTGCTACGGGGCAGGATGGGCACTGCTGTTCGTTTAAACACAAACAGTAGCTGATAAAATACTGGGTGAAAGACAGCAAGAACACATGGAGCTGGGACAGCGCTGCCCTGAGCAGGGGAGGAACAGAGCTGTCTTCAGAAACACAAGACTCCTACAGGCGCTGGTTCTTGGCAGATATGGAGATGAAAGTGTGCTTGTGCTTGTCCTTGTCCAGCTGGGTCACTGTTGCTGAGGAATTTGTCTCTGCAGCATTGGCTGTGGCTGCGGGGAGGGAGCACAGCACAGGATGCTTCAGTTGACAGGGCCAGATTCATGGCTTGTCTGTTACCCGAGAGGTGTCAGAGCATAAAGCAGCACTGAGCTCTTGGTAGGAAGCCCTTACTGTGCAGACCAGTGGCAACACAAGGAACATCCTCCTGCTGGGTCTTCCTGCTGTCCCATCCCATTTATCCCTGCTGCTCCTCACCAGCTACAATATGAAGCACAGATACCTCTGCTAATTTCTGGTCTCCCTCTCATTCTCTGCAGTATATCCCAGCCAGCAACAACAACACTCCCATCCATGGTTTTTACATCTACTACCGCCCCACTGATAGCGACAACGACAGCGACTACAAGAAGGATGTGGTGGAAGGTAGGAGATACTGGAAGGCTGTTCCCAGCTGGTGGTTTCCCCTGGATGAGTACGTGGCCAGAAGGAGCCCTGTGCACAAAAGGCAGCTGCTGCTGCTGCTGTGCAGGTCTGCTTCACCCAGCAGTGCTGCAGAGCTGGGCCGGCTGCGTGTTCCCCGAGGAAGGTAACGGCACCGTGTGTGTTCCCTCCTCAGGAGACCGGTACTGGCACTCCATCAGCCACCTGCAGCCGGAGACCTCGTATGACATTAAGATGCAGTGCTTCAACGAGGGTGGTGAAAGCGAGTTCAGCAACGTGATGATCTGTGAAACCAAAGGTAACCAGCTTCAGCGGGCGCCTCTGGGCGTGCTGCCTGCACGGCCTGCTGCCTTCCCTGCCTGCAGCTGTCAGGGCACAGCAGGGCAGGTGCCATCCCTGCCTGACGGTGCGTCATCCAGGCTCCGGCGAGGAGGCGGAGGCAGCGCTGGGGAGAAGGGAGGCGTAGGTTTGTTGGTGCTGGTGCTCAGGGTGTGTGTATACCCGTACCAGTACTCTCAGACGCCTGGTGCAGAGTCCCTCACCGCTTCCCTCAGAGGAGTGGTTACCTCTTGTTTTCCTGAGGGTCACAGAGGTGGTGACTGGAACCAGGAGGGCTAACTACCCCTTGCTGTTCCGAACTCCTGTGTTTGGTTATCAGCAGGTCCCATCTTGTTTTCCAAGCAGCTGCACTGTTGTGATAGGAACAGCATTAAGTGCAAGCGGGTGTTTTGGAGAAGCTATTTTGCTTTGTCCTTTTGCTTTAGCAGGCCAAAAGCCTGGCAGATCTGTAAGCCAAGCACAAAGGACTTGTCTGTGCTGCAATATGTGTCAGCCTAGGAGATCCCCTGGCATCCAGGAGCACTGCTTAAAAGCCGCTGTAGAAGTCTGCCCACTCCACAGCAGTGTAGACATCCTGGAGCGTGCTGCTCTTCCGCCTGCCGTGTCTGTGTCTAACGCTCGCTCTCTCTCTTCCCTTCGCAGCTCGGAAGTCTCTTGGTCTGCCAGGTCGTCTCCCGCCCTCAACAGTGCCCCCCCAGCAGCACCCCCCACTCAGCGGTGGGCACGGTGGCCTGGGGACAGGAGCCATGGTGGCTCGTTCCAGCGACTTGCCATACTTGATTGTAGGCGTCGTGCTGGGCTCTATCGTACTTCTCATCGTGGCCTTCATCCCATTTTGCCTTTGGAGGGCCTGGTCCAAGCAGAGTAAGGGTCCTTTCTCGAGGCCTCATTTACAAGATGTGCGCTGCCCTGTGGGTAGTTGGGTCAAACACCGAAAACGTGAGGGCTGTGCTTTCTGGGAAGCAGGGAGAGGGTGGGCAGAGGGCAAATCCCAAATGTCCTGTGGAACCCGATAAAGGCAAAGGCCACTGTTTGTCCCTTGTCCTGCTTACCTTGCTGAGAAAGAACCCTGGGACTAGAGCAGGTGGAAAGGGGCGCTCCTTTTGCCTTCATGCAGGGCCCCTTTCCACCATTTGTCTCCAAGGGTGCTTTGGGTGCCAAAACAGCTGCCTGATAGGGCAGCCTAACACTAGCGCTGCTGAGCTTCAGGAAGCTCAACTTAACCTCTGTGTTTGGCCTCAGACCTCCTTTTTGTTGCTTTTGTAGAGCAAACCATCGACATGGGCTTCCCAGGAGCTGGGCTGCTGGTATCATCCTGCCAGTACACCATGGTGCCTCTGAGGGGCATCTCTGCTCCTCGTGCCAGCGGACATCCCTATGTTAATGGGCAGCCCTACGCCAATGGGGCACATCTGAATGGCATCTGCCCCGCTGCAGGAGTGGGCTATGCAAGCACCAAGCCCCGAGATTACAGCCCAGATGAAGTGCCACAGGTATGTCCACACCTGCGGTTAGCAGTGGGTTTGACGTGAGCTGGAGGCTGTGGTCGCAGTGAGAGGGCTTCTCCAGACGTGCCTGGCACCCTTTGCAGCACGTAGAAGGGGCAAAACTGGCTGCTTAAAAGAGATTTCCCCATTGCAGTGGAGTCTGAGACATGGGAGGAGCAGGAGGGGGACTCCAAAACACTGGTGAAGAGGTGGTTTCTTGGGGCAGGGGCTCTTAAGTGTGGAGCAGGCAGTGAGCAAAGGCTACTCGTAAGGGAACGGTTCCTCTTTCTCCTGAGCAAAGCTCACAGGGACTGAGTATGTTGAGGAGTCTGTGTGTAAATAGTAGCAGAGGCCAAGGCAGTGCCGCAGCTGGGACTATAAACTGGTTATCGTCCCCCACTGATTCAGCAATGAGCAGGAAGTGAGGTTTTCAGTGCTCAGTTCCACTCTGTCCCCTGTAGCAGAAGTTTCAGCTTTCTCTGCCTTCTGTCATAAGAGCTTCGCCAGTCTGCCCCACGGCTCCGGCTCCCAGATCAGCACCTGCCCCTCACTGCTGCTGTGTGGCGTTGCTCTGCTGAGAACCCTTCTCTCTCCTTCCAGTCACACGAGGAGACCAACGCCTTGCTGCAGGGGAGAGTGCTGCGAAACAGGAGTGCCCAGCAGGACTCCAGGTTAGTCCTGGCTTGCGGAGGGGAAGAGTGGGACAGTCCCCCGGGGCCCACGAGACAATGTGCTCACAGAAACTCGCCCTCAGCACGCTCTCATCTGTCCTAGTTCACTTGGGAAACAAATCCATGCTCCAGCACTCGGCCTTCCTGGTCTAAGTTCTCTTCACACAGCTCATTCCTCCTGTGGTTGAGGAAGGAGTAATTTAATTTTAGAGGTGGCCAAGACCTACTTCTCCCTCTTTTCCTCCCCTTGCTCCAAAGTGGGAGACGGAACAGTAGGATGAGAGAAGCTAACGTCTGTGACTGGATGCTGATAATGGCTGCCCCAGAATCTGGGCAGGGTCGAGCTGCAGGTGCTTTGTGTCTTGCTGTTGAGGTGTCAAGTCGTTATTGCCGTGCTTCCCGGGAGGCACAACTCCTCCCAGCTCCTGTGGCACTCATTAGATTTTGAACCGCGGAGACCAGGTCCCATCACCTCATTCCCATCCCACAAGTACATCCCAGTTTCTGCTCTTCCCCTCATTTAGGAAAGCTTTGTGTCATTGCATTGATGCAGCTGGCTGAGATGTTACGCAGGTCGTGTCTTTCAAGGAGGAAAGGTCTGTGAATAGCGCTAAACCTCTTTGTCTGCCTCCCCAGATTGCCCAGCTCAAGAACAGAAGACAGCTCTTTCCTCTACAGTCTCCCGGACGATTCCACTCACCAGCTTCTTCAGCCACAAGACGACTGTCCTCACCTTCAAGAGCACTTTGTTGGCCTCCATCATCCAGTGATGGGCAGCAAAGTGGGGGGCCCTAGCCTGGATGGTCGACGGGATCCTCTGTTCCACCAAGGTCAGTGGTTTGGAAAACTCAGTGCTTGCTTCATCTGATCACTTTAGGCTGCTCTTGAAGGGAAATATTGCTGTAGAGCCTTTGATGGCTCTGTTCACACTCACTTCTGCGGTGCAAGGACAGTTTTAACACTGCAGAGAACAACAGCATGGAAAGGCCACGCTAGCAGCTGGCAACTGTAAATTGCCTCAGTTGGTTTTAGAGGACAAATTTCTCATTTCTCCAGAAGCTTCAGCTGTACGCTGCTGGAAAGGCACATGCCCACCTCCAGTTGCAGAGACGCTGCCCTTTAGTCCTTCTTGATTTTTGCATTTTCCAGACCACCAGTAAAACAACAAGGTCCCTGAAAAATTACGTGAATCCATCTGCCTAGGACCTGATCCATCAGATCCGCCCCCATAGTGTGGATCAGACTTGTTGAGTTCAAGCTCAAGTGATCAAACTCCCATGCAGCCAGGGCTTTCAGAATGTGGTTCTTCCTCTTTTGGGGGGTGCCTGTCCTCAGAAAGGAGACTGTTAACTAGAAAGCTGCCACAGCATCTCTCATTTCTGCGATCATTTCTTGCTCCTTTCAGGAAACGCCTGCTGCCTAGGCCTGGTGCCAGTTGAAGAGGTGGAAAGACCAGACTGCTGCCAGTCCAGAGGAGATCTCCATCCCCAAAATCCAGTGATCACATCTTTGGGTCAGACCCTACCAAGACATCTGAACAGCAGCCCGCCACCCCTGAGGCCCTTAGAGACTCATGCTCCCGCCAGCTAGGGACCAAACTGCCTTTTGCAAAAGACTTATTCTAAAGAGAAAAAGAGAATGGGTATTTATTTTTGTATAACATCCCTATTTATATATTTATGCACTTGTATATAGATGTATATGTGCCTTTTATAATGCTATGGAGGCAGAAGGCATCCTCAGCAAGGTCACAGGAGGGCCCAAGGAACAAGGCAGCAGCTATCCATGGCACCGGGCTGTTCGTCAGAGCACGAGATTGAAACAGCAGCACAAGAGACGTCGTCGCAGGACGTGGGTCCAAACAGAGCTGCCACCACCAAGACCTAGCACCCTCTTGCAGTGAGGGCTTCACGAAAGAGAACGCTGTCAGAAAGGTCTTTTCCTCTCCCCCACAGAAGGTTTGTCCCAGGAACACACTCCTGTGAACGGACTGGAGTTATGCACTCTGCCTAATCAACTTAAACAACCCTTCACATACACGCCATCTGCAGCCGCCTATCCGTAAAGACAAACCCACGCTTTAACACCTAAAATAAAGGCTTTAGTCTTTTCTGTGGCTGGCTCTGTGCTAACTCCTCCCACAGAATGAACCCACTCTTTTTTACTTGCAGCCATACAGCAGGCAGGACCCCCAGGGGAAGGTGACATTTTCCTGCAGTTACATTTTTCCAAATAGCCACCGACGCGAATCGTCTTAACGCTCAGCTCAGGAGAAGCGGGACGGCTGCTACCTGTGCCAGCGAAGTGACACAAAACTTCTAGTGAGGAGCGCAGCTAGGGGAAATTCTCCTTTATCTCCAAGGACAGCTGCGTGAGTTTGGTGACGGGGGGAGGCAGATGGACACTCAGACCTCTGCACAGTTTGTTTCCTTATCCCTCACACCCCATCCTGTGGTTTTTCCAGCTGCAGAAGCTTTCAGCATCCAGGCCTGTTGATCAGGGTGGGGTTTCCCCCCTTGAGGAAACAGGGGATGCTCAGCACCCCCATAGGGACCCTCTGAGAAGGCAGGCTGCACAAGTAGCTCTCGTTCAGTTGTGCTGGGGCCAATGGGACAGTTCTTGTGCCTGGCTGGGCTACAGGTGGATCCTGGCCGAGCAGTCACCAGGCAGAGGAGCAAAGACCAGTGGCAAAAGGCAGGGAGTGGGGAGGAAGAGCAAAAGCAGCTGCAGGTTGTTCAATCTATTTAATTAAACATTAGCAACAGACCCCAAGCCTCCCCATGCACCCTCAGAAACTTTGCACTGGGAGAACAGTGCAACACAGCCCCACCGCTTTGGGGATGAAGGAAGTCCTCACAGTAAGAGAGGGTCGGTGCTGCGCGTTGCCACCATGTGGAATGCCAGAGGCAAAAAGGACTAAAACCTGGAAACGGAGGGAGCCTGGCTCGCTGTCCCTCTGATCAGGCAGGTGCAAGGCAGCCGTGTTACAGGCTGACTGCATGCGCTGTACCCTGCTCTGGCCAGGTAAATGCCACGTCCTGCACTGCAGTGCCATTTTCCACTGCTACAGAGCGGAGGCGAGTGGGAAAGCGTTCGACTAGGTCTGTACCCATCTGGGCACTGTAGGCCCCAAGGAGAGAGGTCCCGTTGCCTTCTCCGAACAGCACTTCGCCGTTAGCAGAGAAGTGCCATTGCTGCTAGGATGTTCAGCAAATAACAGAATCACAGAATCGCAGAATGTTCGGGGTTGGAAGGGACCTCTGTGGGTCATCTAGT